CAAAATGCACAAAAGACTATTTAAAAAGTGTGAAGTTCTGCAAAGACTATCCCTGCTCAGAGAGTCTTCTCACTCTTTAAGAAAGGCTTCTCTCACATATCAGTTAACATATTACAAACAGGGGCTGGAGAGATGGCTTGGTGGTTAAGAGCACTGTCTACTTTTCAAGAGGTCCTGAGTTCAATTCCCAGAAACCACACAATGGTTCACAACCATCTAAACTGGGATCTGATGCCCTCTTCTGGCATGCAGGTGTACATGCAAATAGAGTACCCAATACATAAAATAAATGAATAAATCTTTTTAAAAAAAAAAGAAAAGGTGCTGTGAAACACATTTTGGTCACAGACCCTGGGGCCATGAACCCCACGATAAGGATATACTTCAGGGTATAGGACTACACAGACACCTGGGATGGGTTTTCTAGCAGAAAAGGTCAACTGATGAAGGTGTTTTATGTGACCTGTGTAGGGACAATGACAAAGCAAATTGACTTAATGAAGGGTCACCGTGGAGCAACACCTGGAGAAGACATATACAACTCAAGTCTTAAGGGGTGAAGGAGCTGGGACTACATCCTAAGATGGCTACCAACTCAGCACTCAGTTGCTGCCCTCATTAGCTTGGATCAGACAGGATAGCAAGTTTTATCAGATGTTTACCATGGACTACATGCTTGCCACCAGGACTAACACATCCGAGCTACATCCATCTCTTCCTCAAGAAAATACTGTTAAAAGTACAGTGTCCAAGCACAGAGAGGACTTGGGTGGGAATCTAGACTTTTTAATTAGGACAAAAGATTTAGCCATGGAGTCAGAGAGACACGAGGTTGCCCTGTCCCCGACACACCTGAGCTGGGGGAAATTCTGATTGCAGCTTCAACTCTCAAGCTTCAGTTTCCTGATCTGTAAAACTGAAACAATCATTTCCACCTCTTAAGAAAACTATGCAAGACAATAGTTAGGCAGAATGTGACATACAGAAAGCAATCGATGAATGATTAAATGTTTTAGTATGAGGTGCGACAGAATGCACATACCTACAGTGCACATTCTGATCACTCTTTTCATATGTATGTATCTATATACTCCTCATTAACATTCAGAAAATCGCTAGGACTTCAGAAGACCCCACGTGCCCTTCATGTCCCCAGCTCCCATGACCACTCTTCTACCTATTACCACAAAGGAATCATGCAGCACAGGTACTTTTTATACCTAGTTTCTATTGTTTAGCATTATGCTAATGAAACTGCCAATCTCTACACACAGCAGTTCATTTTCCTTCACTCTATTCCACCACAGGCACAAGCATAATGATTATTTTTTTAATTTAACCATTGATAAACAGTTTATTTCAACCTGTGAATACTTAGGAATACTAGTGCTGACAATTCTGGTACATATGTTACCAGACACACATACATACTGAAGATCACCCAGATGTACACTGCAGGCTCACAGTGCAGGTCTATGTTCGTCAGTGTTGGCCAACACTGAATTTACACCCCACAGCAATGCAGTAAAGCTTGGGCTGATGCATGCCTGCCCCTGCTGTCACTTGCTTTCCCAGCCACTGGGATAGAGTGGCAGACAGAGGCTTCTTACTGTAGAGCTCTCTTTAATGGCCACTGCATCTCTCTCTCTCTCTCTCTCTCTCTCTCTGTGTGTGTGTGTGTGTGTGTGTGTGTGTGTGTGTGTGTGAAGTGCATGCCAGGTCTTTTGCCTGTTTTTGAAAACTGAATTATCTTTTCTTAGCTGTTTTACAGACTACTTGCCATATTACACAAGTCCAAAGTTAGATATATTGAAATAACATCTTAGTTTTTCTTACAAAGCTAGCACTCCCAATTGGGAGTTTGATATCTTGTTTAAGGAACTCTGCTACCTCAGGAAAACAATTGTACTCCCTCCATGAAGTACAGCTTCTTCTAGAAACTCTATTGCTACACTGCTATGATTCCCTTGAATTAACACTGCTGAATGGTGCAAGGCAGAGGTCTAAGGAATTTTGCAGCCCCCAGCCCTCACTTCCAAGAGATAGGTCTGGTGCAGCCCCATTAGCAGGAGACCCCCTTTTCTCTGAATGAGGGGCCTGTGGTAATATTTCTGCACTCTCCATTTTGCTCTGGATGTCATAACTGGATTATAAGCACTGACTCACAGCAATCACAGATGAAAATTTGCCTTTCTCATAAGGACTAAGAGCCATAATAAGATATGTGCACAAGAACACTTATTTGTTAAGGAGTTGTATGTGGTCATGCAGGATGCTTCATAAACATGATGATACTTCATTACAGTCTGGAAGGGGAGGCAGTAGAGACTCACAGAGTTAGTGAGGTACCTGGGAGTGAAGAAAGCAAATGCAGGTCTATTTGGTCCTAGAACAGACATACCTGCCACTATGCCATGTTTCCTCAGCATAAGATTACACATTATTATTTCTACAAAGACATACATTTCTCCATGTAAGTGAATTCTTCTTCTTCTTCTTTTTTTTTTCAAACAAAGTCTTTCAACACAAGTTGGGGAGGGATTTAGGTATGGAGATAGATTAAAGAGGAAGAGGAGGAAAACATCATAAAATACACATAACAAACCAGCTTGGGCTCTCATTCTATCCCTGTTCCCACCCAAACCCCCCCAATAAAAACAATATATGAAAAAAAAAACCACATCAAGGACTACCGATCAAAACATAGATCAAAAAAGGATGAAAAGAAAAACATTTCAAATAAAGTTCAGCTGTTTCTATTTGGGAACAACAACAAAAAAAATCCCACTTGCCACAATAAACTGACAAATAAGAAATTGACTCTGCGGTAGTGGAGCTGGAATTTTCCAATGGCACCAGCTACTCTGTCATTACTGTGGGTGACCCAAGAGTGAGTGGGGGCGATGAACAGCTGGGAGCTGGCTGGGCTTGCATCCCTGACCCAGGAGTACCCCACTGCAGGCCTACATGGTTAGGCTCCCCTCTGAGCTTCGGCTTTCCCCTGGCAGTGGAAATCCCTGTTGGTTGCATAAGCTGCTTTCAAATAGAATAGAAAACCTTCCTGCCTCAGCCCCAACCCCAACCCAGTTCTGTTAGGACAGCCTGATTTCCCACCTGCAGGAGACCAAGGAAGCAGAGGTCTTTTACAGTGATGTCTACAGATTTCTCATGTGGAATGATGGACATCTACAAGAATCTCAGGCTTTACCCCAATACTTGGGGGGGAGGGGAGTTAGAAGGCAGAGAGGGAGAAGAAGGCAGATGCGGAGAGTGGGAGGTGTCTAAAGCTTGAATAAAAGCTTGGTTAGGTTATTATTGGAAGAATGGGCTTAACCAAACATGCAAAATATTGCCAAACTTAGGAAAAAGATTCATTAAACAAATGAAGAATGCTTGGGAAAAAACTTTCTTGATCACTGTGCCTACTGATTAATGAAAATAAATATATGCAAGAATCAGAACATGGTTAAGACTTTTCCTAAGAAGAATTAAAAAGGATGCTCAGCCAGGTGGTGATGGCACACACCTTTAACCCCAGCACTCAGGAGGCAGAGGCACATGGATCTCTGTAAGTTCAAGGCTAGTCTGGTTTATAAAGCAAGTTTACAATCTGGTGGGACTAAGGAAAAAAACCTCAAACACACATTAAACTTGCTTATCATATTCTCTTTCCTTAATGGTTTAGAGAAGAGTGTGGATCTCACAATGCTGAAGTATCATCACAAAAGCTGGTGTCTACATGAATATCCATTATATGCTTTAAAGTGATTTTTCTACTGCACAAGCATGTTCATATGGCTTGGCTACATATGCTCACCTCATTTCAGCGACCTGCTAAGGAGGCAATGCAGGAGAACCAGCTATGCCAGAGCCTAAGCTCTGGCTGACATCGAGGACAAGGGAGTGGACCTCTTGTTTCTTGTTTCCCTCACCTATAAAGTGGGGTCTGATCATACCAGCTTCATGCACTGTCAGAATTAAGTAAGATCATGCATGGAAACACACATAAGGATTAAACAAAGGTTGAGAGTGCTGTGAGCACAGCCTGAACTTTTGGTCTTTGGTAAAGACAAGCATGAATGCTGAAAACCCTTCCTCACTTTCAGTTCAGGGAGCATGAAAGTAAACTGTGGGTAAAGTCCTTGTCAGGATGAACTGGCTCTTGCACTGGGAAAGACATCTGCAACTTCTATTGTCCCCACCAATGCAAACACAAGTTTCTTTTATCTTTTCTTTTTCTTTGAGCTAAAAAAACTTCCATATTCTACTCCATGCAGTGACAGAACACTACGCAGTGACTGATGACAATGTATACAATATGTCAACTCTGTCTGAAGGAGAGTTTTCTGAGGCACTTGATTTGTTTTTTCCTGATCTCATGCAACACTGTGCTCTTCTATATTGTAAATTGGGCAAATGGCAGTATCTTTAGCACAAACATTAAGCATTTCTGTTTACTTTCTCTGAAGCCCCCAAGAGAAAATTCTGCTGGGTAGAACACATCTACTCATCCTAGGCTGGGCTCCTCACTGTCTAACCAGACCTTATTCTCTCCACTTTCAGCTTCATAAGCGCTCCTCTTCCAAATGCAAAAGCACAAGGCCATGCAGGACAGAATTTAGTTCACCAGAAAAGTTCTTATAATTAAGTAAGTTTCATTTCTTATGACCAGGGTGCAGAATGCTCCCATGCTTCTGTGAAGTCAAAGCTTTGTTAAAGTAACGCTGACTGACAGGAGTCTAAGATCTCTACCTCAAAAACAAGTTAAATGTTGAATGCTTATTCCAAGGATCACACACTTACTTTGGAAGATGATATATAGCACAGGGGTTGAATGAGCTGTCTCTGTCATACATTTTAGCTACATGTTGTATTCAGATATCCTTGTTACCTTGAAAATTAGCTCTTTTATACTATGAGCCTTCTTACATACTGAACAGACATCAAGTCAGGGACAAACTAGGCTATAGTGCCTGGTTGTGGGTCACATGCAAGGATACAGGGATTGTTGTCATCGATGTTGCTGCTGTCCAAGATCAGAGGAATGCCATCCAGCTCATTCACCTAAAGGGAAAGAAGATGGACAACCAGGTCAGCATCCCTGAATGAATGACTCATCTCTCCTTCCTAATTTCCTTATTATTGTAATATTTTTTCTCCTATTACCAATACAGAAATATGTAAAAGCAGATATACAGGCCTTGGATAGATGGCTGTCAGTAAAGTCCACACTTTGCAACCATAAAGACCTGAGTTTGATCCTCAGAACTCACATTTTTATTTGTTTGTTTGTTTGTTTGTTTGTTTTTTTAAAGCACCGTGGCGCACACTTGTAATCCCAGCACAAGGCCAGCAAAGACACAAGGATCCAAGGGATTCACTGGCTTGTCAGTCAAGCCTAACTGGTGAGCTTCACATCAGTGAGACCCTGTCTCAAAAACAAAGTGGATGGGTACACCAAGGAATAAGACTGGGAGCTGCCCTCTGGTCTCCACATACAGATGAACACTAATGTACACACCACACACAGAGGAAAACGCATACATATGAGCACAGAGATAATTTCTTTCTTTTCACCCTTCCTTACAACACTTAAGGCATTTTGGGTAAATTAGTACAGCCATATTTAAAAAGAATAAAAGTAAATTACACTCTAATGTTGCCTTTTATGGATAAACACCTTATCTGAGCATTAAGAACAAAGAAATGCTACCAAAAGAGAGACCAGAACTGTTTTCTAAGATAAAAACAGGAAAAGTTTATTTTTATTTGTTTCTTCACATTTTATTCATTATATATCCTGATTGAAGTTCCCTCAACCTTCCCATTCCCACCCTTCCCCTCTCTTCACCTCTTCCTCCCTTTCCCCTAGTCCACTGAAGGGGGGGGGGGTTCTCCACTACTGCCATCTGCCCATAGCTTGTTAAGTCTCATCAGGACTGCCTGGATCCTCTTCCTCCCACTCACTAATAAGTGGATATTAGCTGTATAATATAGGACAGCCACCTACAGACTTAAAGAAGCTAAACACTAAGGAGGACCCTAGGGAGGATGCTTAAATCTCATTCAGAATGGCAAACAGTATAGACACCAGAAGGGGTGGAAGAGAGGAAACAGGATGGGAGTCTACTATAGAGCATCCTCTAAAAGGATTCACCCAACAGGAGATCGAAGCAGATGCTGAGACTCACAGCCAAACTTTGGGCAGAGCACAAGGAGTCTTATGGAAGAAGAGTGGTATTAAAGGGACATGTAGGGGACAGGAGCCCCAAAGAGACCAACAAAACTAAAAGATCTAAGCCCAGGGGGTCCTTCACAGGAAAAGGTTTTCTAACCAGGACTCATGTCCAGAAGCAAATGAGAAAAGGCTTTAACATTTGACATCAAAAAGAAAGCAAATGAAAACTGAGAAAAAATATTTGTAGAATATTACGGATTTGTAATAGAGTTGCAAGGGACTAATATTCTAATACAGAAAGAACTTACGAAACTAAAACTGTCTTAAAATTCTTGCTCAGTGAGCAGCAGGGGCTGCAGGGTGTCAGTAGAGGAGCAGGGGTGAGTAACTGCTGCAGCTGAGCCAAAGTAGCGATCTAGGAGTCAGGACACGTGTGATGGGGCTGGGAGCTGAAGTCTGGCCAGGATCTCAACCTTGAAGACTCAGTTTTCTCATCAATAAAATGAGGATGCAAATGTCTACTTCAAAGAAAACAGGAACCATAGACTAGATTGTGGCTGGGGAGTACGATGCTAGCTGACTGCAGCAAGGAAAGCCTGAGGAAGCAAGGGCAAATGCACACTTTATTTCTGCATGGGGCTAAACTGAGAGAAGAATTAAAAAACCATTCAAGATTTATTCAATGCAAGAAAAACACTAAAGAAAAGAAAAAGCAAAATTGTAAGGTCTGTCAAGTGGGTAAGATTTTCTTTGATAGAAGTGAAATCACATGATAAATATTGAAATTGAAGCAAGCTACACAGGTAAACTGAAGATTTATTAAACATCATGGCTCCACTGAAGCTTGGGCTCCTAGGCAAACATCTCACTCACAGGGCGGCATTACAAAAGGCTACAGGAAACTTTTTATAGAAACCCATTGACTGTTTTCAACGTACATGGACTATTCTAGACACAGATGACAAATACATAATTATAGACTTAAGAATGAACACAGGATAAGGTCACTGGGAACAGAAGACATAAATGTAACACCTTCCCAGGGGGGCCTGACAACAAAATTTGTTATTACAGAGCTCAGGTTTACTGCTGCAGTTACATGTGTAGAGTGACTATCTGGGGCAAGGGAGAACAATTAGGAAATTAACGAGTTTTCTTCTGTTAGCACTCCATAAAATAAGGAAGTTGTTTGTTTCTTTACTTAACATGTTAGGAACTGATTGTAAACCTGTAATAAATGAGTCACAGGTTGTAGTTTGCTGGAGGAGCCAAGTTCAGTCAACACTTTCTTTTTACATGGTAATGCTGTCCTGCAAGACAGTAAGCCTGGCTTAAACAAACATCTGGGCCCTGCAAACTGCAGAAAGAAGACAGCTAACTGATTATCTGTTTCCTTTCTGTCCTACAGGAGCAAGTGATGCTGGAGAAACACTGCAAAGCATACAAGCCCTACAAGAGAGCAAGCTCCTTTGGAAACACATACTGGGTAGGCAAAAAACTGCCTCAATTATCCTGATGGCTTTGACACTGAGTGGTGAATACACAAGTCTTAAAAAACTCTAGAGGACACAATACTAATTTGGGGCAGAATCTTCTCCAGTCAGGCCTCCATGTTTAGTGAAAATGCACACAGATCTTCAGGCAGGCTCACAGATCACATGCCAAAAAGAATGAACCATAACTGGGGAAAGGGGAGGTGTGACTCAATGGCACTGCACTTGCCTAGCAAACTTCAGGCCCTTGGATCTACCGCCAGCACTACAAACAAACAGACAGAATCCACATTTTAGCCAGGTGTCTAGCATACTCCAGGCCCTTGGTTCTATCCACAGCACTATAAATAGACAGACAGACAGACAGATGGATAGAATCCACAGTTTAGCCAGGTGTGGTGGTGCACGTTGTTTTGTTTGCGATTTTTCAGAATTGTCTTCCCTGCTGCACTAGTTTGGCAGCTCTGCTATCACAAAGCAGCACAGAGCAAATGGCTTACATAACAGACACCCACTCGTTCCCTGTTTTGGTGGCTAGGAGTTAGCGGGTAAGCGATGATCAGCAGGGTATTCCTTTCTACTGAACATAGAAGAGAACTGCTACAGGCGTCTCTCTGGGCCACCTCTGGTGGATCCTTTTTGGCTTGCAGATCTCTGCTTTGACCTTCACATCACATTTGGCCTATACCTGTGGACCGCATCCAAACTGCCCCTTTGTATAAGGACAGTCACATCAAATTAGGGACCCCGTCCTACACCAGTTTAACTGCATCATAACTTGGCTAATTACATCTGTAATGAGTATTTCCAAACAAGGTCACATAGAGCATCTCAATATAGGAATGGAAAGGATGCAAAGTTCAACCAATAATAGCTACTATAGGTCTCTCCCAATAAATTTTAAAGTCAGTTTTCACCCTGCCCCCCCAAAAAAAAATGACCTATGAGATTTAGATTGGTATAGTCTAAGTAACTGTGTTTTTTCTGTTGCTATGATCCATCTAAATATTGTTACTGAGGAGTTCATGGCAGACCTCTGCTTTCTGAGAATGAAGGAAGTCATAAGTAGGGCTGGGCTTGACAGGTACTTTTCTCTGCAGGCTTAGGAGAATTTGTATATATCAAATATTTCTCTTTTTTTGAGAAAGCTGATCTTGGTGCATTTTGAGACTGTTCAGTCTAGCTAATGTTACAGGCTGGGTAGTGGGGAGGTCCTAAGTGGGCTTGTAATTGTCTTGTTTTGGTTTGTCTTAGTTTAGAAACAACATGATACTAGCTTCATACATTCACTGGTAGCTTTAACTTTCCCTATTCTGTTGTAACACCTGTCTACAAGACATGGTTTGTTCTTAAAGCATGGTGGCACATATTGTGTGAAGTAGTGTAATGCTATTTATAAACAGGTTGCAACAAATTAAATATGCATACCCTGAACTCTATAACAACCATTTGAACAAAAGAAAGAGGAAGAGCGCTTGGAAGGAGTTGAACTCAGTTTGAACACAGCAAAACTGTTCCCTGAAACCAAACAAATAAAAATATCTAGCCATTAAACTTTGAAACATTTTATCTCTAAAGATCAGAGACGTTCAAGGAAACCATGAGAAGCTACAGTGGTGTGAGAGGTTCTTCAAGGCTCATCAACAAGACAGAAGCAGTGGAAGACCAGAAATAGATAAAGCATAAGACTGAGAACTAACAGATGAATAGTCCATTTTTGTTTTCATTTTATAGCTTTTTAATTTTTAAAAGATGGTTACATCACTTCCCCCTTCTTTCTCAACCCCCTCCCATGCCCTACTCTCTCCCTGCCCTGCTCAGCCTAAAGTTTATTACCTTTTACTCTTTAACTATTATTGTTTTACACATTCATAAATAAATAAATAATTACAACCTGCTGAGTTTATGTAGTGTAGAGCTGACCATTTGGCATTAGATAACCCATTACGGGGCTCATCTATGGGGAAGACTGATTCATCCATCCATCCTCCCTCTCACCCTCATCCCGCCTTCCCATCCCTTCCCTTCCTCTGTCTCAGCAATATGGCTGCCTAAACCAGACCTGAAGGATGATAACACCAATTGACATAACATCTTAGATAAGGGGAATCTGATAGGCCACAAACCCAAAGAATGCTGAGGTAAGGGAGGGAGGGAAGGAAGAAGGAGGGTGAGTGAACCAGAATTAAGGATGCATGAAAAAAAATCCCTAAAAAACCCACTATGTTTGTAAAGTAATTTAAGAACATAGTTAAAAATAGGAGTTTGAACACAGATACTCTACACAGGTGGACAATGATTCTGTCAGAAGACATGAGCTGTTAAATAAAAATCCCAGTACCAGTTTTGGGACACTGCCTATGAGATACTCCCATGAATAGGACCCCAAGGGC